TGCTACAAATCGAGATACTCACCCCCGACCATTGTGAGGCCTTCGGAGGGTTTGCTTCCTCTTGAGGGCATTAGAATGATTCACGTCGCCAATAAAATAATATCCAATGAAACAGGAACGTTTATTTTTGAAAAAAAAACAATCCCTCGGAAGAGTGTCTTCAATATCCAGTCTTATATTGTAGCTAAAAAGGAGAAAAAGTGGTAATTAAAAATAGCCTTGTGCATCAAGTTGGCAATTTTTAATGACGATCAATGTGTTCTGATTTGGTTTTCTGACAAACCGACGGAATCTTTCTGTCCAATTTTTATACAATTGAGAATATTTGCACGCAGTAGCGAAACAGTAATGTTACCCAACAGGCACACAATAAATGGAAATACTGAGTGCATATAGCCGGTAATTTATAAGCTCGTCCTTTAGAGAATGATCAATATGCTTTTACTTAAAATGGTACTGAAACATAATTATTCTCTTATCACATGTTTACAGTCGTAAATTGAATTCATTTGATATGAGAAACAATATAACGCTTGTAAACTAAATCTATAGAAAACTTCTGTTTTTTACAATGTTCAAATTTATGATGGCAAAATGAGACCAGGCAGTTGCATTTTTATAATAAATAAATGAGGAATTTCTATATTCTGACTAACGGCTCTCTGAGGTAACAGCGAAGAGCAACTTACCTAAGATACCGAACTCCGACACATTCGGGGTTCGTAGTTGACACTGTCTGTCTTGTACTTCCGATTCAGCGCAGAATCTACACACTAACGATGCAACAATCGTTAATTAGGATTCGTTTTTATTTGTGGAGCTTGGCATCTCTAGTATAAACTTATCACGTCTACCGTAGATCACCTCGTCCGTTATGTTGTAATAAAGAACAGTTTTTCCGTAGGTTCCACCCGAGTTTATACGGAAAAAGATCGTTGGAAGATTGCCCGGACGTGTTGGCTAAAATATTCTCCCTCGATGATTAAAGTTAGTAAACATAGATAGCCTCAACGAAAATAAACGTATACGAATCACGTTACTGCGGAAAATTTCCTGTTCCAATTAAATGGAAAAGACGAAACAAGTCAACATTGTGCTCAGTAAACAAACACAAACGTTTGTTATTCAGTTATCTCGAAATTGATTCTTTTAATGCTACTTGTTTTTCTACCGTTCCTCTGCTGTACTTACAATCTATGAATTACTTTAACACCACATGTGTAAAGACATGGTCACGAGCTTTAAAATACTTCAATATCCTTGTCTGAGGATGAAGCGTCTCTTTGTTCGGCTCAATTAAATTCAGTACGTTTACAGTCAGATCAGAATACGTCTTTGTTGATAATGGTCTCTAAGTAGTTTGTTTAAAGCTTGAGACACTGATTGTGCGAACCACCACCCTTATATCTC